TGCTGTATGCAGGCCTCTCACCACTGTGGCCTCTCCCATTGCGGAGCACAGGCTCCGGACGCGCAGGCTCAGCAGCCATGGCTCACAGGCCCAGCCGCCCCGCGGCATGTGGGATCCTCCCACACCAGGGCACGAACCCGTGTCCCCTGCATTGGCAGGCAGACTCTCAACCACTGCACCACCAGGGAAGCCCTGTACTTTTATTAATTTGTTTTTTTCTATCTTGCCAGGCATAGATCAAGGTTAATTTTTTTGTGTATGAATATCCAGTAATTCTAGCCCATTTATTGAAAAGACAGTTTTTTCTTTATTCAGTTTTTTTGGCATCTTTGTCAGAAATTTATTGACCACATATGTGTAGGGCTCTCTCTGAACCCAATATTATCTTCCATTGGTTGTTTCTATCCTTTTGTTAGTACCATCCTATTTTGATTACTGTAGCTTTATAGTAAGACTTGAAATCAGGTTTAGTCGCTGGTGCATTTCTCAGAAGGAGCTTAGAATTAACCATATTCCCTGAGTTCTTAACACATTTCAAATTTTTTCTGTAACCTTTATTTTTTTTTTTTTTTTTTTTTTTTTTTTGGCTGAATGCGGGCCTCTCCCCTCTGTGGCCTCCCCCATTGCGGAGCACAGGCTCCGGACGCGCAGGCTCAGTGGCCATGGCTCACGGGCCCAGCCGCTCCGCGGCATGTGGGATCTTCCCGAAACGGGGCACGAACCCGCGTCTCCTGCATCGGCAGGCGAACTCTCAAGCACTGCGCCACCAGGGAAGCCCGTGTAACCTTTATTCTTGAAAGGAGCCTGGCTGAAAGTAAAATTCAAGGCTGTTAACTTTCTTCCTTGATATCTTGCTTTGTATCTTATAGTTGAGAAATACGATGTCAGCTTACTTTTCTTACTTTTTATAAATAATCTGGTCTTTTTGCCTTGGGGCCCTGTATATTTTTTTCTTCTGTGTATTTTTTCATCTGTGAAATCTGATAGTTTTACCAAGTTATAACTCAAGATTGATCATTCAGTCAATTTTTCCAGGTATACCATGAGCCCATTTTGATTCATAGATTCATATTTTCTTTTATTTATTTATTTTTCCCCTTTGGGGAAGGTGGAATGGATCATTTGGGTTCTTAGTTATTAAATTTCTGACTCAAGGTGGGGTTTTTTGTGTTTGTTTTCCACATCTCCAAGTGTTTGTTGATATATAATTCACTCAGTCAAATTTACTCTGCCTTGTAATTAGTTTGGGGGAGAAATTTTCAGTACTGAAATGTTTTGATTCTAATTTTCTGTCTCCTTTTTACATCTGCTTTGTTTGGTAAACTGATTTTTCTGTATATGCTTTTGGATAGGGTAAGGGTTTTGGGTGCTTTTTCACATTTCTATTTCTAGAGCCCCTCTTCCTCTTCTCTTCATGAAAAGGAGTTTCTTTAATAGGTGATTTTTTTTTTATTAAAAACATTTTTTTGGTGGATACGTGTTGATACATCTTGTGGATCTCTTAGCTTTCTGCCAAATCCTACTTAACTTCCTCTCTTACTTCCTTTTTCAGCCTTCTCTGTCAAGGAATGTCTCCCCCTTTCTATTTACATCATTCTCTCCAGGGAAGTTCTTTCACCATAGCCACTGCTGAGATCTGCCAGACTTCATACATGTTCAGTATTTTTTGCACTTAGTATGGGCCTTCTGTTTTCTCAGGATGATTTTGACTGTGCTTTGTCACATTAGGCCTTTCATTCTCTTTTCTGTGGTTACATGCTTCCTGCTCTCTGTTTAGGCTTGCAACAGTAAAGTCCAGAAATAGATCATTTGGGGTTTGGTGTTTGTTTTTCTATTTACAGGCAATTTGAAGTTCATATTTTCTGTTTCTTAGTAATACTGAAGCCCTGCCACTGGTTTATTTCTCTTCTTGTAGATATGTATCATCTTTTGGAGACCGTGTGGAGAAATTCAGATATAGGCCTTAGTCATTATCCTAGGTGATGAAAAACTCCCCAGATTTGGATGTTTGTTTATTAAAAAATATAAAATCTTTAAAGATAGTGTAACCTAATGGTAAGAATAGAGCTGGAGAGTTGGACTTTTTGGGTTCAGATCCTGGTTTCACCACTTACTAGCAGTAAAATCTTGAGTAAATTACTTAATCTTTCAAAGTCTCAGTTTTCTAATTTGTATGATAGAAATTATATTTCCTAGGATTATTTTGAAGATTACATGTGGACTAATAATATACAACTCAAAATAGATGCTCAATCAAATTACCTGCTTCTATTAGCATTCTTGTCATTGTTTTATCAGTACCACCAATATCTCTGCATTCAGAAATGCCACATCTTAAATGAAATTGTAATCTGAGTTGAGTTTAGTGCTAAATAGTTGTAAAATAGTGAGATATAGAAAATTGAAATGGAGTGGTTGGAATGTGAGTAGATAGTAACCTCTTTTTGTATCATAGATATCTTTGATAATGTAATAAAAGCCTTCCTTCTTCCCCTAAATGTACATTTTACATAGAATTTCAAGAGATTAATTGAGCCCTACTTGAATCCTAGGTTAAGATTCTAGTTACTGATGTTGAAAGCACAGGAAGAGAAAGAGAAGCCAGAGCTCATGAAGAGATCTTTGTGACAAATAAGAAATTGTGCTAAAATAATAGCTTTCTCCATTTTTTCCTTAAAAATACTAATAAACTTTATTTTGAGAAACATCATTTCAGTTTAAGTATGGTAATGAGAATTTTGTGGTGATTGGCTCTTAGATTTATACGCCAAAGTGCCATTACTCTCAGTTTTTTTCCTAAACTGCCTTTTCTAACAATGTATTGCCTCATTTTTTACAGTTTTACTTTTTATTTGCCACTTCAAGCACAAATGATAGCTCATCATTTTTTATGGGTCATTTTTTTTTTCATTTATGTAGGTGCAAGGTTTTTCCATAGTTTTCATTAAAACATGTTTTTTTAAAATTCTGGTTGTTTGTCCGACATCACAGTAAATAATCCAGTTAATTCTAAGTTGTTCCCTAGTGTCACATAAAGAGTCAAAAAGCAAAATTGGGCAGGTACTGGTAATGAAATATACTGCTTAAGGTAACTGACAAGGAATTGGATCTTTTATTATGAGATTGGGACTTTTTTTTAGGACTTAAAAACTATTAGGGAAATTGAATAGCTCTTTTAGAAGTTAAGGTACAATTATTTATTGAAATTTTGAGTATACCATGTGAATACTGTTAATATTATTGTCTTTCATGGCTTGTGTTTCAGCCTGAAGTAAATTATGACATTGTGCGTTGGCTCTCTTGGACTGCCCGAGGCTTTTTACCCCCACTTGCTGCAGCAGTAGGAGGTGTTGCCAGCCAAGAAGTATTGAAAGCTGTGACAGGAAAGTTTTCTCCTTTGTGCCAGTGGGTTAGTTCTCTATTTTAATATTTTTTTAACTTAAGGTTGAATTATTCACCCATATAATGAATGTCTGTTATGAATTATAACATAATATTAATTAATATATTATAAAAGCAACCTTAAAATATTTTTTGATGCATGAGTCAGATGTGATGTGCCAAAACTTAATTCTGTAATGGAAACTGACAAGATCATTTGTTGAGGCTATTGGCATGTAACCCAAAGTTGCATTCTAGGATGTATTTCCCTCATTTGTGAGAGGGAAGGAATTTTCACTCTTATATTCCTTATATATAAGGAATTTTCTTATCCTTATATTTAGTTTCCACTACTGTTAGTTTAGCAGTCACATGCTTTCAGGACTCCTGAACTGTTCCATGGAGTCTTTTGGCATCATGAATCTTCAGATTCCCTAGTTTCTAGGTATAAACTTCTAAAGGTAGAAAGCATAGGAATGGTAAAAGTTTGAGAACTATATAGGGTAAAAACATCACAAGATAGAAAAACCCTGGTTTCTATTACCAGAAGGAATAATTGGCAAAGTGTATCAAAGGATACTCTTCAGGCCCTTTATTTTTTTTTTTTAAATTTTAAACATTTGAGTATAACATTGATCTTGTTTATTATGTTTTAAAAAGTTTAAATTTAGCTTTAATAATTAAAATTTGTAAATTTATTATAGATGCTATTAATGTTATTTTGCTGCTGGATTATTTGGTTTATTTTAACACAGTGTACAAGTTCAATTGTAAAAGTCTGGTTTAGATATAACTATTAGCAGCATGGGAAATATAAATTATGTTATTAATATAGATTCTATATTATAATTAAATAAATAACCATTTATTCATGTTCATGGTCATGTTCACGTTTTTTAGCCATATAAGTTACTTAAAATGAAAATGAGAATGAGACTCAGGGGTTTTTTTCATTAACCTGAACTAATTCTGTTTGATATTATTTTAAATGCTGAAATTGTGGCTTCCTAGACCATTTCCTCTGTAGTATATGTAATAATTACAGACGACATAGTTTCCAAGTTGGAAATTAAATATGGACTAGGTACTTTCCTATCAAAAGTAAACAAATTATTTAAATGTAGCTGAAATTGAATAAGCTTCCAGAAGTTTTTATGTAGTTATAAAAAATAGATTTGGAGATGAAATTTCCTTTTGTTTGTTAATAATAGAATATATCATCTGTAAGATGGCTAAATGACATGAATCAAATTATATCTTTTTACAGTTCCTCCAGATTTAACCATTGTTTGAATGAAAGAATGTAAGGAATGTTTATTGCATAAGAAACAATTATATTTTTTAATCCATTATTTTACTCTGAAGCAGCATGTTTATCATTGTTTTCTTTAATGATCATTAAATAACTACAGAAGATAATTACTTTTTCTAGCAATTTAGCTTTCTACATAGTAAGTTATGTTTTTATCTTCTACTTTAAGTTATATATTGAAGCAGCAGATATTGTCGAATCCCTAGGCAAACCTGAACGTGAAGAATTTCTCCCACGGTAATACTGACCTTTTTGTTGCTTTTTTCTTAGTTGTATGTTTATAAGAAGCAACTAGATTAAAAGAGTTTTTGTGCAAACATGTATTTGTTTTAGATGTCTTTTCTCCTAGCTCACTTCTGCAGTCATTTCTTCTCTACTTAGAGATTGTGTCATAATAATGCAGTATCTCTTTACCACTTTATAAATAATGAATGTAAAGTGTTAAATTTATATATGAGAATGGTTAGGTTTCAAAACATCATTCTGATTTTAGATGAAAACAATTGCTACCTGCAGCTTTTATTTCTATCAGTCATTCTTTACCTTTTGGGTCACATATCTCTTTGGGAATCTGATAAAAGCTTATGAATTCATTCTCCCAGAAATACACATAACCCAAAGTTCTGCCTTCAATTTAAGTGGGTTAACAACTTCAAAGCCCAACCATAGTCTTCTCTACAAACCTTTATTAAAAATCCCTGCCTTAAAAATTTTTTTCCAGATAAACTAAACTGACCTTCACTTAAGTCATTTGGACTTAGAATATTAAGTCAAATGGAAAAAAGAAACAACTGATTTCTTTATGAAGTTTCTTCTCTTTCAAATAAGATAATTTATCTGTTAGTTTGGAAGAAGCTCATTAAATTGGTACTAGCAGCAATGAAACTAATCTTAATAATATTTTTTTATGCCATTCTATTTTCTTGGTTTATATTGTTTTTTACAGAGGAGATAGATACGATGCCTTACGAGCCTGCGTTGGAGACACTTTGTGTCAGAAGCTACAAAATTTGAATATCTTTTTAGTAAGTAGGAATAATAATGAGAATAAATAGTACAGTCAAACTGCTATTGTATGTCAAGTTAATTTATTAAAGGAAATTTGAGTACAGTTTCTAACATAGTAGACATTCAGGAAATGTTTAAAACAGGAATTTGTAAACTGTACCTGCAGACCAAATCCATCCTGCTGCCTGTTTTTATAGTTTCACGAGAACACAGCCAAGCCCATTTATTCAAATATTGTCTATGGCTTCTTTCATACTATAATAGTGGAGCTGAGTAGTTGTGAAAAAGACCATATCACTTACAAAGCTGAAAACATTCACTGTCTGGCCCTTTATAGACAACGTTTGCCAACCCATCGTCTAGAGAATTAGTACGTGTAAAGTTAAAATACGAGTATAATAGTTTTGAACATTAAATGATTTTCTAGAAATACATTAAAAATTGTGGGTTTTGGGGTTTTTTTTGTTTTTTCTTACCAAACGTAGGAATATGTAGGTGGATCTGTCTTTCTTAAATGTCTTAGTGCATTGACAGGGAAGCTCTCCCCAATAGCATAAGACAACTTCTCCTGCCACTTATTTTTTTTAATTATTATAATCAGTCCTAAAAGTACTACTGATTTTTATTATTCATTTTTTAAATAATATTTTGAAAATCAGCAGTATTCCTGAGCTTTTACCTGCATGTAGAATCTCCTATTAGTTTTTACTTAAAAGTCTTAGAATAGTTATATTCATCAAATGAGTTTAGAAAATTGTCTGTAAACAAGTAATCTTTTTAATTGTAATGTTGCACTGTTTCATGCTGTTTGTTTTCATCTTATATAAAAAATGAGTTCAAACTTTGGCTTTTGTGTGGAATATTAAAATGTCTTCTTTTTAAAGGAATTATAAATATTATGCTTTTCCTTTTATGATTTATACATTTTTTTAATTGAGACACTTATAATGATATCATGAACCATTAAATATTTTAAAGTAAAATGATTTTTAAGTTACTTTAAAAGTATGTATTTATTGTAACTTAGCATTTGAAGAAAATTAAGATGAAATTGCTCTTTAGTAAGTAGATGTTTTAATTTTATTTAATCTGATACCTTTTATTTTTCTTCTCCATAGGTAGGATGTGGAGCCATAGGCTGTGAAATGTTAAAAAATTTTGCTTTGCTAGGTGTTGGCACAGGCAAAGAGAAGGGAATGGTAAGATATAAATCCTTGAGAGTTAAAAGTTTATATTTCTTTTGCTGCCTAGTTTTGAATCATATTTGACTGCATGGATCTGAAGTATTGGTTTTTGAGGATAGGGCCACTAGGCTAGAAATTGGAAGATTCTGATTCTACCCTGACCGTTTTTCAAAATTTATGTGACCTTGTGACAAATAACTTGAGTTCTCTGCTCCTCAGTTTCTTTCTTTAGTTTTGTGAAACTGTTATCTGTACTACCTGCCTCATAATGTAATTATGAAGATCAAATGTGAAAGGGCTTTTCAAACAATAAAACACATTAATACTGTTATGTCTATTAGATACTACTTATTATTAAATAAATATTTAAGATGGGAGAAACTAACATTAGAAAGTTGCAGAGTACTCAGATATTGTTTCAATTGGTGAGTATCAAAAGAAGAGTGAGTAATGTAAACTTTGGTATACAGTATAAATTCTTAAGATGATAAATGTCAGTTAACTGGAAAGCCATGTCATATATTTAAATAAAAATGTATTTCATTGATGCTGTTTGCCTTTAAGATGTACACTACAGTGGTGATGTCATAGATTTATCATGGTGACTAATAGTGAGTAATTAAATGACTAAAATTTATTTAATAGTTCACATTTTATAGTTTATTAAACTTACTCTCACAGTTACAGGCAGATGTCCTACAGTTATATTATTCCTGCTCAGCATTTCCTAAATTGTGTTCCACAAATGACTATTAGTTCTGGTATTTTTTAAAGTATTTCTTTAAAAAAAAAATCCTTGGATACACAAGTTTGGATATCACCTACTTTACTCCTTGTAACTTCATAATACATATCAGCATATAAACGTCAGGAAAAGAACTATAGTAAATAAACCTACTTACTTCAGGTAACAAAACAAGGTAAGTTAATGTGGACAGATTTCTAGCCTACTGCAAATGCATAGTCTTGCTATATAAATTATTCTTTTTTAAAGTGTTTACATATGTAGCCAAACTAACTAGAAGGAAGGAAAGAGAAATCCCCAGGTTCCAGGAACCAAGAGGGGAATTAATTCCTGAGCTAAAAGCTGTGGTGACTCATAAGTGTTTCTGTCTTAAATATATGTCCAATACATTAACTAGAAAGAAAGTCATTTGTGAGAAATCATAACTCAGAGCTGCACCACACTGGTGTATGGGGTCCAAAATTATATCATATAAAAACTTCAAGAAGAGAAATGAATATAACAAATTTAAGGCCGTTGAAACGTCTGATTAAAACAAATGCAAAACCACATCATGGTGATACTTACACACTGAGAGTACATAGGACTATGCAGAGAAATCAACATCCATTCAAGACAATTCACAATGAAAAATGACAGTCTACTAGAAAAAGGTACCACCTGGAAGAATCAGACAATGAAAATAGAAGAATTAACTCTCTAAGAACTATAGATAATAGGAGTGCTACAGATAATAGAACAAACTGTAAAGTTAAAAATGACCAAAGACATAGAAAGAGGAATGGAAACATGAGGGAAAAAGGCACTGGAATTTTCACAAAAAGCCAAGGAAGAATTTTTGTATAATCAGTGAACTTAAAATTCAAATGTAGCTGAAGTGAGAATTGATGAAAAGAAGATAAATACCCAAAATATAGTATAGAAAGATTCTTTTTTTTTTTAAATGAAAGAGGATACATTTGCATGGTCCAATGTAAGTGTAGTAGAATTTCCAGAGAGAGTAAAGATAAGGGAGAAGAAGTAATATATTACAAGGATAATGACAAGTTTCCAGAGTTGAAGAGACAAGTGTGTTCAGATTGAAAAGGTAGACTAATCCCAAACAAATCAAAAGCAAAAATAAAAAGAGAGATTACTTAGTAGACTTCTCATCAGCAATAAATGCACACCTGAAGATAGAGAAGCATATCTTCATAGTGCAAGGGATTATCAACCTAGATTTCTATACCCAGCTAAATTATCTGTTAAGAGGAAAAAAAAAAAAAAAGATAATTGACTAGTAAAATGATGAAAGATTACTGCTTATTCTCACTGAAAGAACTATGGATTAATACAGGCAATGTGTGAAGCAAGGGTAAGTAGAGTCGTTTATCAACATTGTTAGATTTAAATAAGCATTAATTTTTAAAACCTTTCATTAAAATATTGGCCAGTTTGGGGGTGGGCTGGTTAAGAATAAGTAAAATGTTCATTGATATGGAAAACAGAAGGGAGAGTTCAAATATCCTCCAGTTGTTCTGGAGGAAGATGGAGATTTTAATTTTAGATCTTAAGTCACATGTACATGTTAAAATTTTGAATATCACCACATAAAAATAGAGATTTAACTTCCAAATCAGTTCAGTGAGGGATTGACAGGGGCGTTGAGGGAGGATTAGAATCAAGAATACTTGATCAATCCAGTAGAAGAACAACAACAAAAAAAAGTGGATAAAAAGTAGGGTTGGGGGAGGTAGAAGAAAAAGCTTTTTAATCAGTAATCACAATAAGTATACATTGATGAAGCTTTTTCTTAAAGGACATTTTCTGTGCTTTTTTTCCCCCCATTTCAAAGAGGTACTCTCTAACACGTAATTACAAAGAACTGTTGAAAACAAAACAAAATATATATATATATATATATATATACACACACATATCTCTATATATATACATATGTATATACATATATATGTATATATATATCTGAAATGCCAGCTAAAAGAAAGTGAATGTGTTTGGGAATACAAATCAACATGTAACAGCTGGAACACACTCTGAGAAGTACTGCTTCTAGTGAAATCTTTTACAAATACTAGCTTAAGTGGCAAATGCATTATGAGTACTTTTTAGATTATCTTGGATCTGTTTACTTTAATCTTTCATCCTTTAGAGTGGGGGTCTGCAAACTTTTTCTTAACCAGATTGTAACTGTTAGGCTTGTGGATCTTAAGGCTCTGTCACAGCTGCTGAGCTCTGCCATTGCAGTATGAAAACAGCCATAAAGTGGCGTGACGGTGTTCAGTAAAATTTATCTACAAAAACAGGCAGCCTGCCTGCACTGTAGTTTGTAGACCTCTGCTTTAGCAAGAGCCTTCAAATTGAAACATTCAGGCTTTCTTTCCCAATCAGTTGAGATTGAGAATAAATATGTATAGAAAGAAGAGCTAACTCCTCTATGGCTAATCCATTACGTTTCTAAAATGTGATAGTGATGTTAAGCCTTTATTTTGTTATGAATAGTTAAAAAAAAGTTTTGAGTAGGAGATGCAGTTGGTTTCAGCTGTTTTGTTTGACATATTCATATGCTAAACATTATCATTAAATATAAGTATAAAAACAGTAGTATTGGTAACCAGTTTTGGAGTATTTGTATTCTTATAACTTTCACCAGCCAAAATAATTTAGACTAACTTGTGGGAGTTGTTTTAGTCATTCAGTGAAAAGCAAAGTAGATTTAAATTTATCTCTTATGTAATTTCAGCCATTTTTTTCCCTTGGTATTAGGTTACAGTAACAGATCCTGACTTGATAGAAAAATCCAACTTGAATAGACAGTTTCTATTTCGTCCTCATCACATACAGGTGTGTTGTTATACTGTTTCAAATTTGAATCATCTATTATGTTATACAAAAATGAAGAGAGTTTCCTTTTTATAAATAGAAAATGGTGCTTGAACAAGCATAGTATCTATTTTATTAGAGTCACTCAAACTATCAAATAATGGGAATGACAATAGAAAAAATATATAATTATTTTTTAATATAAAAATTAGTTTTTGCATTGATTTTGGGTGTTAAAATCTGAGTTGTGAATGATGGGCAGTATTTTTTTCATTTTATAATCATTTAATAAAATTATAATTTAATTTTAGAAACATCTTAGGATATAAAAACAGCTTCCCTAATTTGAAGTTTTTATAGATGACAAATTTGGCACTTTCTTTTTTATTAACCTTTATTACAAAACAGGTAAAGTTTGAGCATTTTTTGCTCTTTTGATCTTGTTTGATTATTTAACATACCTTTTTATTATAAAATGATGCTTATTTTCAGTCTTCTTTTTTATGGAGGTCAAAATATTTAAGTCAGTAAAAGAAACAATTTAGTCAGTCAAGCAAATTTGCTCTTTAGAAGTTTTTTTCACTTTGTTGTTCTACAACTCATTGAGAATCTTAGTAAACTAAGAAATGTCATGAACAGGAATTAAAGCATACTTTTATATAGTTATATAGTGGCATAGTTAACCAAATGACCTCACCTATCCAAATACAAAGAACTATGTAACAGGGTCTCTCATGAACTAAAATTTATGTGATAAGATTCATTCACTGACCTTTGTGCATTTTACTTATAAAAGAACTATTAAAGCCTGTTTGTTTTACACTTCTAACAAAGTTTACAGTTTGTATGTATGAATGCTAATAGCCCTGAGAAGTAAAAACATGTCTGTCTAACAATATGAGAAGAGACAGATACCATTAAAACTAGATGCATTCGTTCAAGCTGAATGATCTATAGATACTTAGTGTCAGAGCCAGTACTCCCAAATAAACTATGATAGCACCTGAAAGGACACCAGTGATTTAAAAATGATCACTAACTCTAAAAGAAAAGAAAGGGTACTCTTTTTATAAAACTGAAACATATATAATAATTTTTTATTTCCATCCAGAAATGGTAAAATTTTTTAAACATTTTAGTACCAAAATATGATTTTAAGTTACCATACCTCTGAGAGTTCATATTCTATAGAACTTGGATTTCTAATATTGTACTGAATGTGTTCTCATTTTTTTTCTAGGCACTTACTTGATTCAAACCTCATTACTAGGGAAAAATGTACTTTTAATTAGACTTTTAACTAATATTTTAAGAATTACAGAGCACTTAGCTATAAAATAGACGTTGTTTACATTTTTATTAATAATGTATGAATTATTCTAATGTGCATTACTAAATGCAGCATGACCACAATGAATGTAATATCCACAAATTAAAAATGAAAACTGGTCTCATTACATTATTCTTCATATAAAAAATGTTTTAAGTTCAGTCATGGTCTATTTTTCCTGTTTACCATTTATTTCTTCTGTTTTTATATGTTATTTGTTTAGAAACCTAAAAGCTATACTGCTGCTGATGCAACCCTGAAAATAAATCCTCAATTAAAGATAGATGCACACTTGAACAAAGTATGTCCAGCCACCGAGGTGATTTACAATGATGAGTTCTATACTAAGCAGGATATAATTATTACAGCATTAGATAATGTGGAAGCCAGGAGATATGTAGACAGGTATGTTCTTGAAATTCAGGTTCATAGAAATTGTCTTTCTTTTGTTTTTACTTCATTTCTCATACCTATTTATTGAAAAGTTACTGAAGTTTCTGATTATTCTTTATGTTCCTATTTTAGTTCTCCTTGAACCCAAGCCTTTTGATGATTTCCCATTAGAGACAGGATAAAATTAAAAATCTTTAAAATGGCCTAAATGTTTTTCATAGAGTATCTGCCACCTGTCCACCACTCCAGCTTAAAATTTACTATTTCTCCCTGACACCCCTTATTCTAGCCACACATTCTTTCTTTCAGTTCTTACAGTGGGGACATCTAACACTTTTCACCTCAGGGACTTGTACATGATCTCCTTCAACCTCAGGAAATTATGTTTATCTTGTTCTAAAGCTCCTGACCCCAAATCTGCCTACTTACTCTTCACTTCCTTTAATTTTTTCTCTCATCCTTTCAGTTTCAGCCTAAATGTCTTTATTCAAACAGACTTTCTTTAGCCCCTGAATTCTAAATTAGATCCTCCTAAGATAATCTTTCACAGCACTCATTTTTCCTTCATAGCACTTATTTTTTATTGACATGCAATTTTTTAATATTTGTTTCCTCACTAAATCATTTATTCAGTTATTATTTATTTTCCCATCACTCTGTCCTCAGTGCCCAATACATGGTGTCATTCAGTAAATATTTGTTAAATAAGTAGATGAATAAATGACTATGACATATACACCTTACATAATCTTTCTTATATCTTTGTATGACTCTCTAATGTTAGGGTGCTAGAGCAGATTTATTAGCAGGAAAACTTACCAGTTGAGAATACAGTGGAAAGTTTGTAAACTTGAGCAGAGAAAGGCAAAAAAGAAACTTTAAGAAATTAACGTGGGTTGAATATAGGTATCATAAGTATTGAGAAAGAAGGTTTGGGATGAAGAAAATGTTGAAAAGATATAGTGAGGTAGAACTTATAGTCGGAAAATAAACCAAAGAAGAAATAGAAAACAAGACAAGAAAGGGTAACACATTAATTAAGAGTTAACCCAGAGGAAGAAAAGTTGAAGCCCAAAATTTGATAGGAGTTTTTTTTGTTTTTTCTTTTTTCTTATTGAAGTATAGTTGATTTACAATGTTGTGGCAATCTCTGCTGTACAGCAGTGACTCAGTTATACACATAGAGACATTCTTTTTTTATATTCTTTTCCATTATGGTTATATCAGGATATTGAATATAGTTCCCTGTGCTACACATTAGGACCTTGTTGTTTATCCATTCTATGTAGGAGTTTTAGAACAAGATAAACGTAATGTGTCTTGTTCTAAAACTACCAAACTTTGGGAATGAAAGGTAGAGACAAAAATTGCTAGAGTGAGCAACAAAGTTTGTGGGAAGAAGGAGATGGTAATAATAAATGGGTTGTTTCGTGGTCATGTATCTGTTTCCTAAAGTGTTATATCCAAGAAGTGATCAACATGTGAAATGGTCAGTAGAAATTGGTAAGTTGTCCTCTGCTTACATTGTTACTGCTCACTTTTATGTTTGTTACCTATTTTCTTTTCACGTAGCCGTTGTTTAGCAAATCTGCGGCCCCTCTTAGATTCTGGAACAATGGGCACTAAGGGACACACTGAAGTTATTGTACCTCATTTAACTGAATCCTATAATAGTCATGTAAGTGAACCACTTTTTTAAAGTAAATATCTCTTCTTTATATCTCATCATTTTTATATCTCATGGTTTATTTCTCTTCATTAGTCAGCAAATTTGGTTTAGCATTCCTAATCTGTTTTTGATCTGCCAGTGATGTCTGTGCATATGTGTATAGACATTTTTTTAAATGTAGCTGAACTTATTTTTTTAATCATCAAAATTTTGTTTCCGGTCTTTCTGGAATATTATTCTTGTGTTTACTGTTTGTTTCTCAGAGCTGCTTGATTAGTTTTTAGCAACCTTTGAACTGGTGACCCACCCAAAATCTTACTGAAGACTCGGTTTCTCCATATGAGGGACCAAGCCATTTATAACCATATATTTTATACAAATAATATAGGTGTAACTTTTTTTTAACCTCCACAAGTGATTTTGCAATACTGCCAAATTTGAAAATCACTGGTCTAAGAAATGTAGGCTTGGGGATTTAAAAAAAAAAAAAAAAAAGGTCGGGCTTCCCTGGTGGTGCAGTGGTTGAGAGTCTGCCTGCCGATGCAGGGGACACGGGTTCGTGCCCTGGTCCGGGAAGATCCCACATGCCGTGGAGCGGCCGGGCCCGTGAACCATGGCCGCTCTGCCTGTGTATCTGGAGCCTGTGCTCTGCAATGGGAGAGACCACAACAGTGAGAGAGGCCCGCATACCACAAAAAATAAATTAATTAATTAATTTTTAAAAATTTTAAAAAAGGTCAATCCAAGTTGTAAAATTGAAAGAAGAATATTATTTTACAAGCATAAATATCCCTTTATTTAATGGATATGTTTGGTTTAGAAAATTTTTTAAATTTTAATAAAATTTGTTTTCCCCTTTACTCTCATACAATCAGAAGTTTATATAGTGAAAATACTATAATAGACAAAATTGATAAGTTTGATTTGAAGGAAATTAGGTGGAGAAAATCATGATATGCTGGGATAATACTAGAAGATATTCAAAGTAGGGGATGTTACAAAATTCCAAAAGTTCCCTTGATTCTCTCATTCTACCACATCTTCCCCTTCTCCTATACGTATATTCTCTAACTTCATACTCAGAAAAACTAGAATTGAATACTCCATCTGGCTTTCCTTTTTGGTTTATAAAATATTCCGTGGTATTTTATAGATCAACACACTAAAATAAAATCTCTAAGTAAAAAGAGACAAAGTGAGTTGTTTTAGATTGGGTAAGCCAATAAGACTAAATGTACCAAATGTACCTTTTAAGAGAATATGGATTTCTTCAGTGGTACTTTTTCATATGACACAACATAGACATTTGCCATTTACTTAATACACAATTTCTGCAAGAAAATATACCAAGCATCAAGAACATATGATTCCCACTTACAAATATTATTTCTCCCTGGAGAAAGAAACGGTATGTGGGCACTATATTGGGAATTCTTGAATTATTTTTCAAAATGTGGAATATTTAAAGTGTTAAATGTCACCTTGATACTTGGAGAAAAAAAAAAGGTAATTATATATGATAATCTGCTATATGAGTACTACATGGTACCAAAGGAGTGCACAGATAATAAGTGAGAATAGAATTCGTGTTTGTTGTTACATTGCTATAAACACGTGGGTTAAGTGTCAAAAGAATAAACTTTTCCTCTTAACGTGTAGGAGAAAGAAGATAAAAAATGTTGGATTTATTTTATTTTTGAATTTTGTTTTTTAATGGTCTTAAAGCACTCAAATAAATTCATTCCATAAAAAATTGTCATTGCTTCTCTTAACTGTTGTCATATTTTATAAAATAGCGTGATCCCCCAGAAGAGGAAATACCATTTTGTACCCTAAAGTCCTTTCCAGCTGCTATTGAACACACTATACAATGGGCAAGAGATAAGGTAATAAAGATATTTTTAAAGAAATTTTTCTTTGAAGTAGAAAAGATGATATTTCCAACTTTTTTTTTTAATTTTTGAATTTTATTTTATTTTTTTTATACAGCAGGTTCTTATTAGTCATCAATTTTATACACATCAGTGTATACATGTCAATCCCAATTGCCCAATTCATCAGATATTTCCAACTTTTAAACATACTTTTATTTGTAATGTGTTTTCCTCTTTTCCCTTATAGTTTGAAAGTTCCTTTTCCTACAAGCCTTCGTTGTTTAACAAATTTTGGCAAACCTATCCATCTGCAGAAGAAGTCTTAAAGGTAAAAATCAATAGACTTTTTTTTTAATTGAAGTATAGTTGATTTACAATGTTGTGGTAATTTCTGCTGTATAGCAAAATGATTCAGTTATATGTATATACATTCTTTTTCATATTCTTTTCCATTATGGTTTATCACAGGATTTTGAATTTAGTTCCTTGTCTTATACAGTAGAACCTTGTCGTTTATCCATTCTGTATATAGTAGTTTGCATTTGCTAACCCCAACACTTTATGTCAGCGTAATCTTATTTTCAAGTTGCCTATAAATAGTTTACCTCCTTAAACAGAGATTATACATTAATATTGTATATAGTAAGTATATGAGGAATCTCGAAGTTAGCAGGTCACAAATAACCCTTCATTTTTAATTTGGTCAAACTATATGGAGTTGCAAATATTTACCACGTTTGACTCACAGAACAGCAGTTCATATGGTTCAACCTGATAAGGATTTGATAAATGATAAGAGAGCTACAAATAATAAAACAGATTGTTAAGCTCTTTGGAAAAAACTGAAGTAAGTTTTAGTGAAAATTTCAGGAGTAGGAATGGTCTCAGATTTGTTAGTCTCATGGTGAGGGCAACTTCAAAGCTGTTTTTTCACTTTCCTTTAATCCTACACTAAAAAGGCCAGCTTTTTAGTGTAAAATATTATTCATAGCACTTCGTATAGTAAGTACATACATAGTACTAACTTACCACTAGCAAGACATGAGGATAACTTGGGAGATAAGAAACTTCAGAGTTAACATTTTATGTACTATCTTTTCCCATTTCCCCTCCAGAAAAGAAAAAGAGGGAAAGTAGAAAGACGGGTACAGGGAGCTTGAGGTGAAAATAATAAAATCATAAGACACATGAGCTGGCACTTCAAACTTTGGCTGACATTTCCTGGGAATATGTGCATGTGTGTTTGTGTGATTAATTGGACATGTATTTGCTTTGTTTTCTTTTTTCCTGTCATTCTAGAAGATACAAACTGGACACAGTTTAGAAGGCTGTTTTCAAGTTATTAAGTTACTTAGCAGAAGACCTAGAAATTGGTCCCACTGTGTAGAATTAGCAAGATTAAAGTTTGAAAAATATTTTAACCATAAGGTAAGTATACACTATAAAACATTAAGAAAAAGTCTAAACTTGGCTCATTTAATTACTATAAAATTAACTTCATTGACCTGAAAATGTGTACTCTTTCTTTCAGGAAGCTTTTCAGAAATTAGTAAGTTAGCTGAGAACAAGTGACGGGCACACAACTAATTTCTCCCTGAATGTTACTGATTAAAGAATGCATTTAAACTCCACCCATTGGCTTGTCAGTTATACATTTAACTAATCCTTGTCTTTCTGTGTACAAAATGGGTTTTAATAAAATAGGGGTTCCTTCTAGAGAAGAAAGAATACATTTAATCAGTAATCATAAAGAAGTTTGTTGTTCAGAGTAAAGCAAGAGACTGAGAGAATAGAGATTCCATCAGAAATTTTGTTGGAATTTTGCCTTCCCCATATATATCTAATAATCACATTTTGTCTGTTTCCTCACTGTAAAATGGGAGTAATAAATTGGTGCCTGACTCATAGCATAGTGGTGAGGATCAAATGAGTTAATACATGCAGTCTTTAGCATAGGACCTGGTCCATCCCATAAATATTTAGTGAAATATTAGCTGTTATTCTTACTCCAGTTACATACAGAAGCTTGAATGTGTTCTGCACTCTGTTTAGTCTCTCCCTCTCTTTAGGCTCTTACCTATTGGAATATAAAATAAGCTCATCTTTTTAAAGTCTTTAAATTATACTTATTCCTGTTTTTCACTTCCTTTTTTGCTCTGCTTCTTGGAAAAGTGGTCTACACTAACTGTTGCCATGTCTTCATCCAGTAAATGTGTCTTCTTTCCCCACAACTATTGAAATTATTCTTACCATGACTATCAATGACCTCATGTTTCAAAATCTACAGAACTCTTTTTTGTCCTTATCTTCTATGGGTTTTTTAACTTTTTTTTATTATGGAAAAATTCAACCACAGAAATAATAGAGGAAATAGCATATAATTAATCTCCATGTATTCCTCATATATTTGTCACCCAGGTTTAACAATTAACAGCTCATAGAAAATCTTATTTCATCTATAATCCCACCTAATATACCCTCCCCCTAGATGGTTTTGAAGCAAATCTCAAGCAGCATATCATTTCAAAATAGAAAATACTAGTGTTTTTACTGTTTTTTTTTTTGTTGCTTGTTTTAAGGATTAGCTCTTTGAAAGGAGCAGAATGATATGTAAAATATGCCACCATTCGTGAAAAGGGATAAAATAATCTATATTCATGTTTGCCATAGATGCAAAAAAAGAAAAAAGACTATATAAGTGTTGATAAAAATAGCAATAGAGGTTATTCCAAGTTGGGGTGGGGGCAGTGACAGGAGAATGGGCAGATTGAGTACACGGTGACTGGAAGACTTCACTCTATCTTTTTATATATGTTGTTTTTTGGGGTTTTTTTACTTCAGTTAATATTAAGTAGTGATTTTTTTTTAATTCAATTTTTTCTTTAGGCTCTTCAGCTTCTTCACTGTTTCCCTCTGGACACACGATTAAAAGATGGCAGTAAGTATATATCAGTGTTGAGAAGAAAGTTTAATGCAATTTATTACTGACTGCTGACACTGAAAATAATATTTTGTATTTTGTTAGGTTTGTTTTGGCAGTCACCGAAAAGGCCCCCCTCTCCATTAAAATTTGATCTAAATGAACCTTTGTAAGTATATATATCCAGTTTTATATACATCCTTCATTGTAAACTTCTTAACTGTATAGGTTTACATTGCAGGGTGAAAACTGCAGGCTCTTTAATGTTAAATTATTGCATCCCTGTTAATCTAAGAGTTAGCATAGCATTTTGGCCAACAAAGCCAGCCACAATACTTCTCCCCACACATAGGTGAATCTACTTATTTACATGGTAAATAATCTTATTATTTTTGTCTTCTCTAAAGTACAACCAAAGTGTCATCTCTTTGACATTATTCATAAAAAAAGTAAAATGAAGACAGATGTTTTCCTATTTAATGAAGTCAGTATATAAGAAACTTTAGTTACACGGGGGAAAATGATCACTACTAAATAACTCCCTAAATAATCTCAGGTTAATTTTCAAAGGAGTTGATCTTTGAGTAAATGCCTGTATATCCTATCTATATTAGATATGCATTTTATACACAAACACACTTATATGTATATATTTTAATTAAACACTTAGCTTGTTAACCTTCCTTTCAACAAGTAATTCTGTGCTTAGTTTTTTTCTCTAGTGCTTATTCTAGTCACCTTATCCCGATTGCTGCTTCTTTTTTTTTAATAAATTTATTTATTTATTTATCTTTGGCTGCGTTGGGGCTTCGTTGCTGCGCTCGGGCTTTCTCTAGTTGTGGCGAGCTGGGGGCTACTCTTCGTTGCGGTGCACGGGCTTCTCATTGCGGGGGCTTCTCTTGTTGCAGAGCATGGGCTCTAGGCGCACGGGCTTCAGTAGTTGTGGCTCTAGAGCGCAGGTTCAATAGTTGTGGTACCCGGGCTTAGTTACTCTGTGGCATGTGGGATCTTCCCGGACCAGGGCTTGAACCCATGTCCCCTGCACTGGCAGGTGGATTCTTAACCACTGCGCCACCAGGGAAGCCCTGATTGCTTCTTCTATAAAACTTACCTTTTTTGTTTTTAAACAAACTCATTTGCTTAGTTTGAACTTATTGTACACTCTTTAAAACCAAGTTTGTAATATTTTCTTATGAATTAAAATGAATTTTCTTTCAATAATTTTTCTATTTCTGGCCACTTCTCTCCCCAAAGTAGTCTTGATCACTACCTGAATATTAGTGCTTATGAGGATAAACATGTGATATTTTCTCTTTTATAACTTCTACAATGCCTTGGTCTAAACCAGAATTTCATTGCCTAACTTAAAAAAAACATCCTGTAACAAAAATTCTGTAATTACTTATCTTCAACAATTTAAAGGCTATAGTTTCTGGTAAACATCTTTGAAACTGTGCATTCACACTTTATTTTTTAATTTCAAAAGGCACTTCAGTTTCCTTCTGAATGCTGCAAAATTATATGCTACAGTCTATTGCATTCCATTTACAGAAGAGGTAAGATTTCTTCAAGCCCTAACAAATGATAGAAAAGGTTAGAATTAGATGACTTAGCTAATTGCATCATCAAAATGTGTTTTATGTTATAAGAATCATTCTTCGATATAAACTTTTTATTTTGTTCTAGTGCTGCCCATTCTAATAAAGCAGAAGTTAAAAATCTCATTGCAGCATCACTAAGTAGAAGAAAGTCACTTTTTTTTCTGAACTTAAGTAGCAAAACAAATATTTGTAAAAGCAGTCTTAACTTTATTTTTAAAACATTTATAACCTACTAACTTTAATTATTGTAATTACTCTGAAAACCCAAAGTGACCTATTTCATAACAATTTTTAAATATTTCTTAGTGATTCTGTTATCATTTGTTTGGCTTATTTTTGTGAAATTAACATATGCTTTTCAGGAGGTTTGAAAATGCTAGCCTACATTGACATTTCTTAACTTTTATCATTTATACCTTTTCTCTTAGACATCGTCTTCATTGACTCATATGTAAAAGGATCTAATACAGTTTTATTTGAAAGGCAGGTCTGCATTAGTGAATTTTCCTTCTCAAATGCATAATAGAGCTAAATAAATTAATACACTTTTAGGTACTAGGCTGAATGGGAAATATGAGCCAGATCCATAACTAGAATTGGCTATTTTGGATCTAGATAAAAATGCCTGTTGTACATTAATCCCTTTTGGAATTAATACGCAGTAAAATATACCATAAATGTCTGGTAAAAATAGTGGCATTCAGTTGGGTATTCTTTTTGTGAAAAGAGTGATAATTTTGTGATGAGTTGTAGGTGACCTCAAAAGCACTGTGTCTTAGTTTTTCCTAAGTAAATTCTTAATAATAAACATGTGTATAGCCTTAAATTCATCTAAGTTTATCCTGAACCATTTAAATATTTTCCTGCTTCCAAAGGTATGAATTCCATTTACTGTGAGTCAATGTATATTGAGTATAACTTTCCGCAGGGAACTTTGTAAAACAATGAAGAGATAGTTCCTGATCTCAAGGCACTCTGTCTGATAAAACCAGTCCTAAAACTACCTTTTTAAAAATTTGTGGATTGACTTCCCTGGCAGTCCAGTGGTTAAGACTCCGTGCTCTCAGTGCAGGGGGCACGGGTTTGATCCCTGGTCGGGGAAGACCGATCACCTGCTGCATGGCACAGCCAAAAAAAAAAAAAAATTTGTGGAAAGAACTAAGATTTCAGGTTTGTTGACTAACAAGTACTTTTTTACACACACCACCGCCACTTCCCAGCCTTTGTGGATGGTATTTCTATAGAAATAAAAGTAAATGTCACAAACAGATGTGGTCTAAACAGTTATATAAATTATTCAAATATTTAGTATGATAAAGGACCTTTTTTAGGTTGTTTTTTAGGTTTAGAATTCAGAATTTTAAGAATATGTTGATAAAATTACTGTTTTAAAAACCAGGACTTATCAGCAGATACCCTGTTGAATATTCTTTCCGAAGTAAAGATTCAGGAATTCAAACCTTCCAACAAGGTATGTGTACAAGTTCATTCATTTAGCAAATAGTTATTGAACTTCTAGTTGTGTCAAGTCTCTTTCTAAACCTGGAGAAGCCCATAGGAACAAAACAAAATTCTTATTCTTGTGTGAGTTGGGCCAGAAGCAGACTATTAAAAAAAAGTGCCAATAATTATGTAATATTGCATTATGGGCATAAGTGCTAATAAGAAAAAATAAAACAGGGAAAACAAAGGATGATGGAGCTGGTGTCATCTTATACCAGATAAAAGGGGAAAGCTTCTCTGATATGGTAACATTTGAGCAGAAGCCTGAAGGAAGTGAGGGAGTGAGCCATACTGTTATCTGGTGAAAGAGCAGTACAGACGTCAGGAACAAGTTCAGAGAAAGGCCTTGAAAGACTTGGAAGGCTAGAATTTTTCTGGAGGAGAATATGCAAGAGAAGAGTGGTAGATAGTGAGATTGGAGAGGTAGTGAGGGTTATAAGTACTTCATGTTTTATTATGGGATAAGAAGCCAGTGGAGGATTTTACGCAGAGGACACAACCTGACATATTTAAAAGGATGACCCTGGCGATTGTGTTAAGAATGATTAGGACATGAGAGAGGAAGCAGAAATAGCTATTAGGAGATTATAGTCAAGATATGATGGTGGTTTGAATGAACCATCAAACGGGTAGTGGGTAACAGGGAAGTTGTGGTAAGAGGTTGGATTCTATGCACATTTTGCAGTAGCCCTGACAGGATTTGTAAGGAATTGGTTTGAGTGTGCAAGAAAAAAAGATTTTTTTCTTAGTTGAAAAAAAGAAGCAAGCTTAATCGCTCCGAGTGACAGGGAGAAGATAGAGGAAGTTTGAGCAGAGAAAAAAAAGATGTGAAATAATTGCCAAGGGGAGTGGGAAAAGTGGGGAATTAGAAGATGTTTAGAATTTTGAGACAATATTTAAGATCCACTTAATGTTAATTCCACTTAATGTATTCCACTACATGTGGCTGGAGAAGAGGCATTTAGCAGCTTGGGTGCTACTGTAGAATAGCTGGTAAATTGGATTGTAATAAGGGTTGGGATTTTGTCAGACAAATATGTTGGAAGGAGAAAGACAGGGAGTATTAATAAAGATGGAAGATGAAATTTAGGCAGGGTAAATAAAAAAGTTTGAAAATACTAAATATTTTTCTTTTTCATATGTTCATTATGTGCCTTTTCGTATGCACTCTAAAAAGAAATAAACCACAGAACAACCTTCTGTTCTGTTTACCTTTAGCTATACTGGAAAATGTGGAGTAATGAGTGCCTCCCTGCAAAATTCAAGTAGGAAGTGGTGTGTGCAGTCTTCCACTCTGTATTTTTATTTTAGGGACAAGGAAAACTTGTAGGCAGTTCATTTTGTGCAAGTGAATAGGTTTTCTGAATGAAATGTTCATGAATTGTAGTTTATCAAGAACAAAAGTACAGAAAGGAAAAACAAAATTCCTATATAAAGAAGATTCCTAGCCCATGTTTCTAATGGGCAAAGCTGCTAGACAGAAGCCAAGGAAATATGCATCAATAACTTTACAGGTCTCTACTGCTCTTCAATATGTTTTCTAGCTTGAATTGCTTCTTTCTGTGTCGAAGTTTTGGCGGCATAAATTACCCTGAGCAATTTTAACATGACTTATGAGCTTTTTCACCACTCCTTGAAGCAGCTCCCACTGAAGCTTCAGTGTCTGGCACTCCTAGTTAAAAGATGCCATAGCCAAAAAATATCAACTACACATTCTGGCAAATAAAAATTACTGCTTCCCTGACTCCTTAATATTTCTCAAATATTTATAATCATATTTAATATGTAAAAATGTGAATTGGATGTGTTTTTTTAATAAGAAATAGTATTTTAATGATGATGTGTAGCTAGTTCCTTGGTTTGAGAATATTAACTTCACTGCCCTTGTGTTTAATAAGTAATTTCTTAAAGATAAATTACTTATATGTGCTGTCCTAAGCATGCAACTATATGAAGGAAGACATATTCTTAGGGATAGAACTTCTTTTCAGTAGTCAATAAATATTTAAAAGATACCCATATTATATATTTTGTGGATTTTGTCAGTTTCTTTGGAGACAGAAAACAGCTCTGCACTAGTTAGAGGTATGTAGTTTGGTTTGAAGTTGATTTGTCAGAATCACAAACTGTTGATTAACATTAACTTTATTTTAGTGTGGAATTTTAAGAGAGAGTTGTATGAACTTAGATCTTATAAACGATTCAGTAAGTATTTTTAACACCCACTATGAGCAAGTTTATTTTAGATATATTGAAGTTATCTCAGTGAACAAGATAAAGATCCCTGTTCTCATAGAGTTTACATGTCAGTGTGAGGCGGTAGATAATAAATATGTAAATAACATAATATTACTTAACAATAGAAGATGTAAAATATATTGGACCATAATGATTAATAATCTAATTAAACCAATAGAATGTTTTCTTTTTGTGACTTATTTGATAAAAACAGATTTGTTAGTCAAACTTAGGTGTAGGATGTGATATCATTAATGAATATACATACATATATTTAAAGGTTGTTCAAACAGATGAAACTGCAAGGAAACCAGACCATGTTCCTGTTAGCAGTGAAGATGAGAGGAATGCTGTTTTCCAACTGGAAAAGGCTATTTCATCTAGTGAAGCTACCACAAGTAAGGGGAAATCTTTATAAAAATGTTTTGAACTAAAGGGATTTTTATTTTCACTAAGCTGTACACTCAGAAGGTTGTGGGATTAAATCATAACAACAACAGTAATGATATTACTTGATTCCATGATCATATGAAAGTCACTGTTCATCTTTAACTGTAACTAAATTCATAACTTTCTCCACCATTTCCCTACCGTAGAAGGCTGAAATGTAAGTCTGCTTTGTTTTTGCTGTTCTGATTGTTTTAGTTCTTGAGATTCTATTGTGTGATTCCTTTTTAACTTATGGCTAGCATGATGAAGAAAACATGGAGTCCTTTAGAGACTAACCCTGAGATCCAGTGAAATCACTTTAGGAAAAAAAATCATAGACAGATTTCTTCTTGGCTTCTTAGTTTCCATAATTACACACAGGGAATACAAACCTGACCTATGTACACCTTTGCTAAATGGTCTTAAATATAGGGAAACTGAACTTTTAATTCCTTAAAAACAGATCTATATTAGCTCATGTTTTTAGACCTGCTCAGCACCTTTCTACTACATAAATTAGCAGTTTCCAAACTTGTGGGATTTTACACAAAGACCAGTAAAATTCAGGAGAAAAGCCTAGATTGGCCAACTATTTATTTTGCAAGTAAAAGGTTTATATCCTAAGTTAATAATTATAATTCTAGAAAAAACATATTACCATTTCTTACTTTCTCATTTCATCACAGATTAAACTACACCTGTCTACAGAATGATTTGAGGAACCACTAATCTAGAAATCTTTCATAAAGACACTTATTTTTATTTGACCCATATATACCCTATTCTTAGTTATCAGAGGTAAAATGTTTCAGAGTAGTATTTATGAAATCAATTTTTGAACAGTACCCAGTGTTGACTTTTTTATTGTAAGCCACTTAATAGCAGATGTACATGGCTTTCTTATTTTTATGTTTTTTTAGAAAGGTTTTTTTTAAAATATTAAAACTTCTAATTTAGTGGTTTTAAAGCCATCATTTTCATATCCTTCAGTAACTTCAGTTCCCTGGATGTTGTTGTTGTCGTTGTATTTTTCAGTCATTTGCAAACCTAAAGAAGAAGGAATCTTTAACAGTAGTGAACCCACACTGCCTTGCTTTTTACCTAGTAAAGACTTTATCACTTACTAAGAAACTTTGTTTTTCTGGTTGTTGTCATCAGGTGACCTTCAGATGGCAGTGCTTTCATTTGAAAAAGATGATGATCGTAATGGACACATAGATTTCATCACAGCTGCATCAAATCTTCGTGCCAAAATGTATAGCATTGAACCAGCTGACCGTTTGAAAACAAAACGCATAGCAGGTAGAATTATACCTGCTATAGCAACATCCACTGCTGCAGTTTCTGGCTTGGTGAGATTATGATTCTTTGAAAATGCTTGTTATTCATTGCTTCTTTTCTGTCTTCCCTATTATACCACCCCAAACCATTCACTCAGAGATCTTAGAGAAGGAGGGATACATATTGTTCTTATAATTTAAAATTGTAAGATATTTCTGAAAATACAGTAATCTGTATTTTGAACTTTTACAGATAATACAGACATTTTAATGTAAAAAAATAAGCTCTGTCAAGGCAATAATCCTCTTCATCATCTTTGTATCCTCTATACAATCCAAGTGCTCTATTTTTCTTGAATAAAATGAACTACCCTAATCTTTGCTCTTTGATTATATTGGATTTTAGTTCTTTGTCTTAAAATAAATGTAATTTCTGTTAGTGATTTGGATTTCTTTAAATTTAGTCTTTCCTTAATGATTTAGAATCCTTAGGATGGCCCTAGTTATTATACCATACTGTAGTGTTATTCTTTAATTATTGTTCCTATTATTAAATGATTTTAGACTGCTGTATTGCTTGACTTCTGATATCTGCTTTCAAAGTAGGAAGATTGCATGGTCAAATTAGTTAGAGGCTTATAAGAAATTTATATTACTCCAGTCCAATAGCTGCTTTTATTCTCTACACAGAAATGCTTGAGAAGAATTCAGGAAAATTATATACATGCAATTAAAGTCATGAATAGTTTTAGGCTATTTATATAATCAGATCACCTTCTTTTATCTAGGTTGCACTGGAGATGATCAAAGTAGCTGGTGACTATCCATTTGAAGCTTACAAAAATTGTTTCTTTAACTTAGCCATTCCAATTATAGTGTTTACAGAGACATCTGAAGTAAGAAAAACTGAAATCAGGTATGCATGAAGGTGTGTTTCTCTTGCATAATGAGAATGAAATAATTTTTTTACCTTTTAAAAGGGATAAATAATAGCTTTATGTCTCCTTTTCTCCTATATATATAACCTCTTCCATCTCTTCATGATGAGGTTAAAACTCCATCTTCATGGGCTTCCCTGGTGGCGCAGTGCTTGAGAGTCCGCCTGCCGATGCAGGGGACGCGGGTTCGTGCCCCGTTTCGGGAAGATCCCACATGCCGCGGAGCGGCTGGGCCCGTGAGCCGTGGCCGCTGAGCCTGCGCGTCCGGAGCCTGTGCTCCGCAAATGGGAGATGCCCCAACAGTGAGAGGCCCGCATAACGCAAGGAAAAAAAAAAAAAAAAAAAAAAAAACTCCATCTTCATGTAGCATTTCTTTTTTTTCTTTTTTTATTGTATAATTGACATACAGCATTAAATTAGTTTCAAGTGTACAACACAATGATTCAACACTGGTATATGCTGTGAAATGATTACCACAATAAACCCAGTCACCATCCCTTATCATACATAGTTATAGAATTTTTTTTTCTGATGATGAGAACATTTAAGATTTACTCACTCAGCAACTTTAAAATATGCAATAGAGTATTATTAACTATAGTCACCATGCTTCACATTATATATCCATGATTTACTCATCTTACAACCAGAAGTTTGTACCTTTTGACTCCCTTTATCCATTTGCCCACCCTCACCACCTGTTTCTGGCACTATCAGTGTTCTCTATATCTATGAGCTTGGGATTTTTTTGGGTTTTGTCTGGTTGGTTGGTTGAGTTTTTTGTGAGATTTGTTTGTTTTAGATTCCACATATACATGAGATGATAAGATATCTGTCTTTCTCTGTCTGACTTATTTCACTTAGCATAACGTCTTTAAGGTCCATCCATGTTGTCACAAATGGCAGAATTTCATTCCTTTTATGGCTGAATAATACTTCATTATATATAGTACCACACTTTCTTTATCCATTCATCAATGGACACTTAGATTGATTCCATGTCTTAGGTATTACAGGTAATGCTGCAGTGAACGTGGGAGTACAGATATCTTTTCAAGTTAGTGTTTGCATTTTCTTTGGATAAATACCCAGGAGTAGAATTGCTAGATCATATGGTAGTTCTGTTTTTAATTTTTTAAAGAACCTACATACTGCTTTCCATAGTGGCTGTATCATTTTTACATTCCCACCAAGAATGTACAAGAGTTCCAATTCCTTCACATCCTTGCCAACACTTGTTATCTTCTTTTTTCTGATGATAGCCATCCTAACAAGTGTACGGTGATATCTCATTGTGGTTTCGATTTGTATTTCCCTGATAATTAGTGATAATTAAGCATCTTTTCATGTACCTGTTGGCCATCTGTATGTCTGCTTTGGAAAAATGTCTTTTCAGGTCCTCTGCCTATTTTATTATTGGATTGTTTGGGCTTTTTGCTGTAGACTTGTATGTGTTAGTTATATATTTTGGATATTAACCCCTTACCAGATATATGATTTGCAAATATTTTCTCCCAGTCGGTAGGTTGCCTTTTCAGTTTGTTAGTGGTTTTCTTTGCTGTGCAGAAGATTTTTAGTTTGATGTAGTCCCACTTGTTTATTTTTGCTTTTGTTGCCTTTGCTTTTGGTGTCAAATCTAAAAACTCATCACCAAAACCAGTATCAAGGAGCTTACCACCTAAGTTTTCTTCTAGGAGTTTTATGGTTTCAGGTCTTACAGTCAAGTCTTCAGTCTATTCTGAGGTAATTTTTGTGTGTGGTGTAAGATAGGAGTCCAATTTCATTCTTTTGCATGTAGCATGAAGCATTGCTGACTAAAATAGCCATAGAACTCTCACAATACATAATGTGCCACACTGTTTAGCATTGTACTTTCTATGGTTTCATCTGTCTGCCTAATTCAGATGAATTAGAAGCCATTCTAGTGTCTGACTAATGGATAATGAGATTAAGAATCTAGTTCCAAAAGTTGTATGACAAAGCAAATCAATTCTCCTGGACTTCCATTTTACAATTTTTAAATTGGTAACAACCAAAAATTTGAAAACTATTATCTCGGCAAGAGTATGAGAAAGCACTCTCATACATTACTGATGAAAGTATAAAATAATATAACCCATATTAAGGCAAATATAGCACTATATTTCAAACTTGCTGATACATTCGCACTCATCTCAAATGATATATGTACAGGATATTCATCTTGGCATTGTTTATCATAGCCAAATATTGGAACAACCTAAATGTCTAGTAATAGGAGACTGGAACATCCACACAGTGAAACTCATGCAACTGTTTAAAGAGAGAAATGGAACTGTCTTGCTAAGACATACTGATTTATAATAAGACACTGGAAAGATAAACAAGGTACTGATAAAAGTGGTTACCTGTGTGATGTGATGGGGAAAATGGAATTATGGAATATTTTGTTATATTTTCCTTTTTTATTCCCACATTAATATCTAGCTAAATCACAAATAGTGGACTTCTGGGATTTTTTATTATTACTAAAGGGAAGAAAATTTAAATGTTTTTGTTCTGAATATTTTTCTACAACAGAAATGGAATATCATTTACAATTTGGGACAGATGGATTATACATGGAAAAGAAGAGTTCACCCTCTTGGATTTCATAAATGCAGTCAAAGTGAGACAATTATTCCTTAGTTGCTTCGAGTCTGTTAGTTTTATACATAATTTCATTAGAGGTTTTTATAAATATTATTTAGCAGGAGTTTTCTCTCTTTTTACTGGTTGTAAAACATTGTCATCCAGCATTTTATATTTGGGTGGAGCTTTGATTGTTTCTTTTGGGTATTCACTTTCAGGAGAAGTACGGAATTGAGCCAACAATGGTGGTACAGGGAGTCAAAATGCTTTATGTTCCTGTAATGCCTGGTCATGCAAAAAGATTGAAGCTAACGTAAGTATTGAACATTATATGCAAGATATTCTCAAAAGTTGAAATATAAGTTGGATGCACACTAGAAAATTAAATATAGAGGTTATTGAAGTTCAGATAAAAATATGTGATTTACTCCTATCTAATGGCAGTAATAAAGACAGTGACTCTGCCAAGCTCCACAGGCTACCTATCAAGTGAGATTTATAGGATTATAATACCCTTGTGAGTTTATTATCGTTCAGGGTCAGCTTATAAGCTAATAGGCTTAGAAACCTGATTTGGTCAATATACCAAGTAAAAGTAGATCCACCTCTTATATGCAAACACATAAGGACTAGGCTTGTGAGACTGAAGTATTTTTTTTAAATGCCGAATTGTTATTTTCATTTATTCAACAGATTTTTTTAAAGAATGCCTGCTATGTACCAGGTACTTTTGTAAACATTAGGGATACAGCAGTGAGCAAAGCAGAGTCCCTGCCCTGCTTGGGGAGTTTACATAACAATTAAATATGTATGTCAGATGGTGATAAGTGCTGTGGAAAAATAAAGCAGAATAAGGGGGTATTAAGTTGCTACAGTATATTGGGCAATCTAGGTATTCCCTCTGCCTGTCATATTCTTTTTGTTGTTGTTGTTGTTGTTAAAGATTTATTTATTTATTTTATACTTATTTTTGGCTGCATTGGGTCTTTGTTGCTGCGTGCAGGCTTTCTTTAGTTGTGGCAAGAAGAAGCTACTCTTCATTGCGCTGCATGTGCTTCTCATTACAGTGGCTTATCTTGTGGAGCATGGGCTCTAGGCATGCGGGCTTCAGTAGTTATGGCTCGTGGGCTCAGTAGTTGTGGCTCGCGGGCTCTAGAGCACAGGCTCAATAGTTGTGGCGCACGGGCTTAGTTGCTCCAAGGCATGTGGGATCTTCCCGGACCAGGGCTCGAACCCATGTCCCCTGCATTGGCAGTCATATTCTTAACCACTGCGCCACTAGGGAAGTCCCTGCCTGTCATATTCTGATGTGAAAGGCTGACATTTGAGCAGAGACCTAAAGGAAGAGAGGGAGGAAAACAGCCAGTCTTTACAGTGGTCTGCAAGGCCCTAAATTATCTAGTTCCCACTTACCCTTCTAAGTTCCTTTCATACTTCTCTCTCCTTGCTCACAATATTCCAGTTATACTGGCCTCCTTACTTTTCCTTGAACATTCCAGTCTCTAACATGTGACCTTTGCTGTAGTTTTTCCCTCTGCTTGCAACTCTTTCAGAGATGGCCATCTGACTAACTCTCACCTCTGGTCTTTGCACTTCCTGAAGAGGCCTCTCTGAACCCTTTTTAATACTGCATCCTGTCTGGTACCCCAGCCTAGCATGCCTAATCCCTTTTATGCTGCTCTACTTTTCCTCTTTCTCATAGCATTTATCACTGTCTAACAGTTACTGTATTATTTATTGTCTCTCCCCTCCCACCAATATAAGCTTCATTCACAAGGGCAGGGATCTATATATTCATTTTTTAAAAGCATATCTCACATTTTAGGGTTTTTTTCTGTGGAGTTTTTTTTGTTTTTGTTTTTGTTTTTAAATAAGTGATCTGTATTCCTTATCATTACCAGCAAAGGTAAAAATTGATTAACTGTTAGGTAAAAGAATGTCTTGATTTTAGAGCTTTTAGTAAAGAAAATAATTATATGAAAGCAGGGGAATTATTAGATTTAAAAATAAATTTAAACAAGCCCAGATTCTTTGGACAACATTATCACCAAATCACTCTTTCAGTTTACAGAATTTACCAAATTATTTTTCCTTGCTTATTTTTCCTTAGAATGCATAAACTTGTGAAACCTTCTACTGAAAAGAAATATGTGGATCTTACTGTGTCATTTGCTCCAGATACTGATGGAGATGAAGATTTACCTGGACCTCCAGTAAGATACTACTTTAGTCATGACACTGATTAACAGAAGTTGTCTTAAATTTAGGACAACTTGATTTTGGAAAGAATGCACTTATTCAGGAGCTGAAAAAGTCAGCTCATAATGCTATGGATTTCTCTTTGATGAAGCCTTGATTTAAGGAAAACATCAGTAAAAAACTACAGTGAAGAATTGTAAAGCATTTTGAAGCATAGTATACACATGTGTAATGCTTCATATGTGGATGTGCTCACAAGCAACTTTGAACTGGAATGCTGTTTTATAATGCTTACCAAAAAATTGTGTATTAACCTCTTTGGATGAAAAGAAGGAAAAAAATATGTATCTAAGACCAGAAGAAATAAAAGATCAAGAAATTGAAAATAACAAATGCAACTATCCAAAAAGTTTAATCCCATTTTATGAATTTCTTTTTGTTTAGTATTTGAGGCCCATTTTTCTATACACAGTGTTTGGCTCCCTGCACCTCTCATGATGAGGCTTTGAATTTAACACCAATGGAACAGGGATGGTAGCAGTGGATGAAGAGTAGTTACTCTTAAAACTTTAAAAGTTACAGTTTACTGACATGTTACCTCTGCTGATTTAACCAGAGTTTGTTATATCACTGTCTCCCCAAAATCAGGATCTTTTGCTGATAGCATCAGTGTTGTAAGTCATGAGCAAGCACATCAGATGAAGGTGTTAACTGGGACTAAATGTTAACAATAGCATATGGACTCTGACAACCCGCTTAGAGAATCCATGAATGTGAACAGATAAATATGGCTAGTCATTTGATTCTTTAGTATGCCTTCTAGTGTGGCAATTTTATTTATTTGGGACTCTTAACCTGATTGTCATAGTATATAAGACTAAAAGGTTTTGTAAAGAGAGTGTCCTTAGAAGTAGATGAAAAGTAGAAATTAAAAAATTATCACTAGTTGAGTCTTGATTTTTTTTTTCTTCCAGCAGCCTAATGGACAGAAAAAATAATCATAAATTAATATTTTATTTTAAAGGGAAATGTATTATTTAATTCTACATTCCCAGAAAGGGAGTTGACAAAGATAAAAATTTATTTTTTTAGGTCTTTATTGATAGAAACTTTCTGTTTTCTGATATGAGCTATTGCATATGTTCATAGAAATGCTTTCATTAAAATAACATAAAGTGTATTCAACACTGTAAACTCAGTGAAAACAGCAAGTGTTTCTTTTATTTCCAGGGCTGTCATGCATTCTAAAGCAATTGGCATTTTGTAACCACAGAAAGTCATTTCCCTCTAACTGCTTTTCTTCTGCTCTTCTGTTCAAACCATTAATAGGTACTTTGATAAATTAAAAACTAGATTCACATCAGTATTACTCCAATTTGGTATCTTTTTATATTCTGTACTTAACTTTCCTTTTATTCCACTTACAAATAGTTTAAGTTACTTGGTCAACCAGCTGTATTGTTTCATTCTTTTGTAAAAGTATCATCCAATTGGGAAAATATATTTAGGAGTGGAGGGTGAATTTGTATGATTAAAGGGTAGTCTGCGTTGGAGATGAGGATAAGTGGACAGGATGAGTTTAAAGGAAATGGCTACCTTTGAAATAAGCAATTAAGTTTGGTTCGTCATATCCTACCCTCTCCCATTGTGTATATTGCAAATATAATGCTTAAAATTAATATTACTTAAAATTGAATCCAGGAATATCAAAGCTCTATGGCTTAGAACTTTAGAGGCTAGCAGCAGTAAAAGCACTTTCCTATAAGAAGTCTGTTCCCACTTTTTTGTTTTGTTCTCTATGACAATAACTGGTATTTTCCAGGTAGCCATTCAGTAATTCTCAACTGTGATCTAGTAGCTTGCTTATATTTGATCTAAATCTCCACATCTCTTCAGAAGTAAATTTAGAACAGAACCATGCCATCAGTTCTTATTTATAGAGATCAGTGCTTTAGCAGATATAAATAAAATCAGTAAGGATTAAGTTCATTTTGTGATTAAATCTGAAACCATATTGTCATTGCTTTTTTCTTCTGTAACAGTTATTGCCATTAGTTTCTTCTGTATAGTTCTACTAGGCTGGAAAACCAGCGTGAATTTAATGACGGTTTTTTTCATTATCTGTTTTATTTCTGTACCATGAGATCAGTGCTGGTGATTGAAATACCAGGTGCAAAAATTAATGATTTGATTTTGTATGGTACCACTGAGTGATTTTTTACTTATTAAAAATAAATTAAGAAATTTGACAGTATCTTTGTAAATCCTGTTCCATAGCTGACTCCAGAGATTCCAATTTCATTATTCATTTTGTGAGTAGTGTTGCTTTGGTGTTTCCTAGTTTTCAAGTTTTGCAATCATGGAGATAGAACACTCACTGGATGTGGAGAGACATTACTTCAAAGTGCTTTTAGCTCCTGGAAATTCTTTTAAAACAACTGAGAAATTGTAAAGCCTAGAAGATCTGGTAAATCCCAGACTGCTGGTTGGGAATTTCCAAAGTCCATTCCTTTTTAGAGTTCAGAGCAGTATGTTACACATCTATAATTTCCTCTAAATTGTCCCAAAGAACTTGGATGTAGATGTGTATCTTTATTTTTATTTTTTATGTATCATGGCACTCCCTGGTGGTGCCAGTGACAAGACATAAAAACGTCAGCAGTGTTTAGAGTCCACTGTTTTATAATTAGTAAAATGAAGACAAAGAAAATTATTCTCTTGAGATCTTGAGGGAAAATATTCTCTTGACCTAATAATCCTTTCAACTGCAATGAATATTATCAGAAATTCATTGTGATTGTAAATATATAACCATTTAGTATACAAGCATTAGGTATGGGCTTAACTATTTTACTTTTAACAAATTCAAAACATAAATCAGGAAGTTGCAATCTTGGGGGTCACAGGAAGTAATCAGTAGGTAATTTGTTCATTTTTGTCTTGCCTTGTCTTAGCTTTGTTTATTTAAGAAATATATATTCATATATATATACATATATATGTGTGTGTGTGTATATATATATATATTCAAGAGTATATAAAATACAAATACACAGTTTAAGGAATAATTTTAAAGTAACTACTTGTATAACCAGCTCTCAAATCAATAGAACATTGACAGCAGCCCAGAAACTTCCCTTGCGGTCCCTTCCCAATCACAACCAGCTTCCCCACATATACCCTCTAGCAGTTAGCACTTTTCTACCTTTTGTGATAACTGTGTCTTTGTTTTTATTTATAGTGTTACCACCTATGTATGTACCTAAACAATACATAGTTTACTTTTGTTGTTTTTGAACTTTATGTAAATAGAATCAATACGTTCATTTGTGGTTGCTTCTTTCATTCAACATGGGATTCATCCATGTGGTTGCTTGTAACAATACTTCATTCATAGTCATTGATGTATAATTTTACCTTTGCGTTAATATACAACTATTTATTTATTCATTCTATTGACTGTGGACAATTGGGATGTTTGGGGGGTGGGTAATCACAGTTCCACAATGAACATTATTTTATGTATTGCCTAGTGTAACTAAGGTATATGTGCCTAGGAATGGAATTCCTTGGTCATAGGATATTCATGTCTTAAATTTTATTAGGTAATAACAGAGTTTTTCCTGAGCAATAGACATGTCGTGTTTTCCCACTTTGATCATCTCTGGTGTTAACAGATTTTTTTTTTTTTTTTAATTTTGCCAATCTGTTGGATGTGCAGTTATATCTCGTTAAAGTTTTACTCTGCATTTCCCTAATTACTCTTGAAATTAAGCACCTTTTTATATGTTTGTTGGCCAGTCTTTCTTTTTTGTGAAGTGACTTTTCAATTCTTTTGTCCATTTTTTGGTTGTGTTGGCAGATTTTTTTTCCTCCTTGATTCATAAAAGATCTTTATAAATCCTGTTCTTAGTTGGCTATATAATTACAAATATTTTTTTCCACTCTGGCTTGCCTTTCCCTCTCTTTATGATGCTCTTTGATAAAAAGGATTTGTTAATGGTCAGGTACTGAGAAGTGTCAATTTTTTGTTTTAAGGCTAGATTTTTTGGTGAGTTTTAAAAAAATTGTTCTTTAGAGCCACAAAGTCATGAAGATACTCCTCTATATTGTCTTCTAAAGCTTTAATTTTAACTTCCCCATTTTAAGTTTTTAATTCAAGAGGAATTAATTTTGTGTATGCTAGGAAGTGTCTCACCACCATTTACTGAAGTCCGTTCTTTTCTGCAGTGCCACCAGTCATATGTCATATCCATATATGTATACGTCTCTTGCTGGATTTCTTGTTCCTTCTTTTCTATCCATGTGATGGTATACTTCTTCATCACGATAGCTGATACATTGTTTTTGATATCTGGCAGAACAAGTCCTCCCAACTTATTGTTCTGTAAAAGTGTCTTGGTTATTTTTAACCCTTTGTATTTTCAGTTCTCAAGTTTCTAATTTCAAACATGCAAATCT